TACAAATTACGATGATAACGTTGAACAATTCGACAATTATGATCAAGAAACAATAACTTGTATTAATAGGCTGTTTAAAAATTAATTGAATTTAAATAATTTATTAAACAACTCGTTTCCAACCTTCTTTGTTTTATCTTGGCAAATCTTTCATATCATTTTTTTTCACGCTTGATTCCTTTATAATTTTTATCATTAATCGTTTTCATACGTTATCTTTTATTTTCTTTTTAATTTCCTCACTAAATTCCCTCTCAACTTTAATTTCTTTTCTTCAGTCTTAATATCTTCAAATTCATTCTCTACAAATTCCCTTTTAACTTTAATTTCTTTCTCCTCAGTCTTAATAACTTAAAATTCCCCTTCTCTTCCTATCCTTAATGAGTATCATGCATCAAGAAGAATATTTCTTGTACGTAGCCAACATGCTTGAATAATGTTAAACAGCTACTGATAATTAAAGTTAGTTACACCACATAACCTGATGCGAACATTGATGTCAGGACACATTTATACTAAAAAAAAATATTGATCCTCTTCTTAAAATTTCTACTTTATTTTCTTCAATTTCTACTTGTTTTAAAAATTTTTAGAGGCGTCAAATATTAAAAAGGAGTGAAAAAGTTTTATAGGAATATAAGAATATATGTAATAAAATTTAATAAAGTATAAAAGGATTACAAGAAATGTGTGTGATATGAGTTGTAGTTGGTATGACGATAAAGAAGTTAGTATTGAGGTAGAAGATTAAGGATTAATAGAAGGTGGAATGAGAAAGGAGGATCCACCAATTCGTTTCTGACTATAATCGTAGTTACCTAATAATATAAATATAATAATATTAATAAATCAAATTCTATTTAGTTCTAATAAAAATAAATTGCTCACTAAAAAGATAAATCAAGAGTTCGTTTCGATACCTGATTGAATTTCTTTATTATTATTTAAACATTGTTTTCAGTGTGATGGGAATACAGACAGAGGGTACATTCTATCTTTTAGCTAATAGTTTAAAATAGAGGGAGCTAGGGAAGGATGGTGAGACATCTTTGATAACACTTATTATTGTGCTCTAGTTTGGGAGGGCTGGTGATTAACTTGCTACAAATCTTTATTGATTCTCTCTTGAAGAAAAGTTCTATATGCTGCAATATCATCCATCATTCTTAAACGGTGATTAATTAGTTAAAGAAAACTAATATCGAACTGATGTTGCGCTAAATAAGGATCAGTCTTAACAGCAATTTCCTAGCATGATTAGGATCCTGAACACGTATTACTGAATCAATTGTCCAAAGGTTTAGCATAAAATAAATATTTAAATTATCTTCATGAAGATACATGGTAAAATGCTTGATCAAGATCTGTAGAAGTGAGTTTTAGACCATCATATCTTAGAGCTTATGAAATCATATGGTCATTACGTCTTATTATTGATTTCACTAAGTTCATGCTTTCCATTTTGAAATGGCTGTAAGACACGTAGCGGTTGAGTTTTCACAAATTGGTAACCGGTCATTGAAAGTTGTTCTACTTAAACGTATTTGTTGCTGTAATTGATATTCAACAATGTTACTATCCGATCCAAATGAATAAAGTGTGATTTGTCAATGAGAGAAATTACTACTAACGCAGAGGAATTTTGTACAATAATCCAGCAAGTATCAATTAAAAATTTGACTTACTTGTAAATACTCAACGAGGCCTCAAATTATAAATATTCATCATTGATCTACTTTATGTCATCACCATTATTTGTTTCATCATATTTTCGTCCAATTTAATAATAAGGCTTAATAAGGAATATGTGACAACGTAAAGAAAAACTCTATTTTTATACAACTAGTAATAAGTCAGGTAAAAAAAAAATCTTCATAGCAAGGAGGCCGACTTAGAGGCGTTTAAGTAATGGTATCTTCACGTCATTATCCTTTCGTGATAGCAATAAAAGGCTAAAAAGTAACTTTTCTCGCAGATATATTCTTTATTTCCTGGTCTAAATATGGATAGAACATAATTCTATATAAAAAATAGCATGCTGTCTTTGCGAATGTTCCATCAGATTTTCGCTCACAGCCTAGTAGCTCGTTACCAAATACCAAATACCTTTCCCTCAAAATTATATATTGTTTTGGATTGAAATCACACTATCGGTAAGTTGACTATTTCATTCTCTTGTCATGATATGAGCGAACATATTAATGGTTGAGAAAAAAGTTTCAATTGAATTTCTTTACATTTTGATCAATAAAAAATATGTGATTACATATTAATTACATTAATTATGTCATTGTTAAAAGGGACTAAGTTTTTCTATTATGAATAGAGATAATGTCAAATAGTCGGTCAAAAGTTATATTATTGGAACTTGTGAATGCAGATATTGCTGGTATCATTATAGCAAAGAGAAATCAGAGAACTATTTTTGCTAAATCAAAGCTTAAAAGAATTTCACTAAAAAAAATCACTAAAGGTTAGAAAATGCTAAATACATATAAAAATTTCTTTTAAAATAGACCTAAAAAAAACTTACTCCATGTTAATTGTGTGAATTTTTTAAGAGTTGCAGTTAAAAAAGTGTGAAAGCTATGATTTTTGCATACATCGTATTATGTAAGTTCTTGTGTTAATTTGGCTAGCACCTGATTGTAGGCACGGTTTATATGATCACGTGAAATTTATCTATACAGTTTAGGCATCGTGCATGAATAGAAATTCACGTAGTCGCGTACTAATTTGATAACTTTCTTCACGTTGTTTTCACCTTCTAATGAACAAAAAAAATTTCTATAATTTCGTAGTTGACGCTCTTGTTCAAACTAGATTGATTGTTCAGCAGTGTGAAAACTTAAGCGATTAATAACAGAATTCCAATTATTCCCAATTATGTCTAAACTTAAGAGTTTATCTGTTTGTGATTGTCCAGAGTTAACAGAATTAACTGAATTAAAAGTCGATAGTCTTATCGAGCTCAAGTGTTCGAATACTTCAATTAAGAAATTAAGTTTTAAATTTTGTCCGAATATCATGAAACTCGATTGTCTTATAAGGAGGCGTTCTTATATATATAGAGTGATTATGTGGAGGTTTGACTGTATTCATGCTTTTGGATTTAATAAATCTAACACAATAAATTGTATTGAACGATGCACGTTCGTGTGTGGTCTTTGATTATATGGAGGTCTGACTGTACTATGACTGAAATACTTTCAGATTTAATAAATTTGACTTGACGAAAAATGTCGAACAACATATTTTCGTATTTGATAATGTCTATTTTTTTCAAATCTTTCAAGAGATTTTAATTACACGAAATCTCTGAGATCTTTGTGATATGTTCTGTCAATTATTGTGCGGTCTTGATGAGGCAGGGGATTGCATTAGAAAGTTTCTTAATAGAAGCTTTAGATTTAGAGGCTTTTGATCATTGAGTCTTGGGAGTTTAACCAGTTCTAACTGGTTCTAACTAGTTCTAACGAACTTTCGGTTCAGAATACCTCAAATGAACAAGCCAGATCAAGAATTATGACAATTGCAAGAAGGGAGAATTTACAAATTCAATTAACAAACTCATTGGAGAAGCCAACTATGAAATCCATTGTCTTTAACTCGTTAGTCGTTACCAAAAAGTTATTTTAGGAAAATTTGCAACTGTAGGATCTTTTGTAAAAGCTGCTGATGCAATATCTTCCGTGCCTGCATGGTTATAGTAATGGAGGTTTAATACCTTATTGATGAAGTTGTGATCAAGAGTATTTTGCGTGTAATGAGAAATATAATTTGATGTATTTTTTCTTTCTTATATTGTGTAGTTAGGGAAGTTGATAGTAGCGTATAATTGAATGTGTAGTATTTATGTCTTAGCTTGTGAGGAATGTTAAATTTTATATGAAATTGTTATCAAGTGTTTAGTGTAGGACGAGGATTACCATTTTGATGTATTTGTAGTTAAAGAGATGGGAGAGTGTACGAGTTGATGGGTAACATATAATAGAGTGTGTTCTATTTATCCCTTTATATGATGTGGGAGAAACGAGATCAGGAGTGTTTGATGTGCAACATGGATTATTATTCGATGTATTTTTCTTTTTTATCTTGTATAGTTAGAGAAGATGAAGAAAAATATGAGATGATGGATAATGTATAATTGGAAGTGTTCTATTATTTTCTTTGTCTTGTGGTGTAGAAGGAACGTTAAATTCCTTATTGATGAAGTTGAGTTTGATGCGCAACGAGATTTATTATTTGATGTATTTGCGGTTAAAAGATGGGAAGGTTATAGTTGACGGATAGTGTTGTAATTAGTAATTTAGTATTAGTGTCTTGGCTTGGAAGGAACGTTAAATTCTTATGAAGTTGAGATCAAAGGTGTTTGGTGTGCAACGAGGATTTTTATTTGGTATATTTGCAGTTAAAGGAGATGGGAAGGTGTATGAGTTGGTAGATAGCGTATTAATTGAGAAGTGCGTAGTCTTTATGTCTCAGCTTGGAAGGAACGCTACTTCTTATGAAGTCGAGATCAAGTGTTTGTGGAATGAGGAATTTGGTTTATATTTTTCTTTTTTACCATATTCTTATAAGTTTAAGATTGACGTAATATAAAATAATATAAAATATATAATTAATTAATAAAAATATTTGTAGTATTTTCATAATATCAGAGTTTTTTCGAAAATACTTCTAAAAAATAATCAATTTTTATTGACAATTATTATTTCACAATTCCTTAATTAATCCGAATTTTATTCTACATTCAAACTAGTGCTTCGATCCGGATGAAAACTTGAATATTTTCATGTGACGATTATGGCTGAGAAAGATTATGAATTTCAGATTTAAACAGACTATAATTTAAACCAACATTAAAGTATTATTATCCCAAAAATTTATACTAATTCTGGCCAAACTCATAGTGCTAGCGAAATTTAATGAAATTCAATCCGGATGAAAATCCGGATAAAACCGCTACGGATCGAAGCACTAATTCAAACGTCAAATCATTAATATAAATATCTAGATTTAACATCGGAACATCGGGTCATAATAGATATTCCATAGAAGAGGGGAGACCACTTCTCCTTGGTCAATTCCCTGGAGAATCTTATATGGTTGGGATAAGCCATTTGGCAACATAATATAATTTTTGTCGCCTATCTAACATTCTATAAAACTTAACAGTTAATTGCATGTTTAGCTTGGGGAGCATATATAACAGTTCTCTCTTTCTACGATATAATAAGTAACTAACAGACATAATAATTATTATAGTTGCAATACCACCAGTTGTTCCACCTATTATTGCTGATTTAGTTGGATAAGCTGTTTTTGTAATATTTGGAGTAGTTGCAAGTGTTGGAGTAAAACTTTTAACCCACTTGTAATTATTTTTTTCGTTCACATCAATCATTATGAATTTGATCACTAAAAACATCATCATGAGTAGTACTACTGTAATATGATCCTAAATAATATAATAATTTGAAGAAAAATTAAATAAACTTAATTCAAGTAAAAGCAAGATTTCATCAATATAACCTTTCATACCAAATGCAATAATCATATAATTTTCAACAAGAGTAGCCGTATGTCCACGGAATGGTGCAGAGCTAGGTGCAGGATTGATATTAGGAGTGGACCAATTAAAATGGTCTACTTTGGTATCTAAAACTAAGATTTGATCAGGAACAGGAGTCATAAAGTTTGCTCCTCCATAAATAATAATAAGACCATCCTGTGCTAGAAAATTATTTAACCCATTTTATTAAAAATATTTTATTTAATCTAATATATGTATTTTTTAAAATTGATACACACTTAAGACCGCTGTGTATGATATTCTAGGTGATGGTTCAATTCCACTTGTACTCTATGAATAATTGTGTTGTAATAAATTTTGTGCATTAAGTAGCAGAGAATAAAGAATTTGCATAAATACCCTTCTCCTTTACAAAATTATTTACCATATTTTCCCATGTTCCATAATTGGTATCATATATATAAGTATTCCGAAACTGTGTTAATATAATAAACATGCAGTCAATTAAAATCATTACGTATATAATAATGATAAAAATAAATCAAATAATCGTACATTAAAATCCACAAAATCATCTATTCTTTCGCCGCTATAACCGATATAAGCAATTCTTTCATCTGGTAATAAGATCGACAGACCAAGATTATTCGTTATATCCAAATCAGACAATCCTGAATTCCAGCTGGTAGTATCTGTAATAGACATCGTATACATCGCATGTTTTTTAACATCATAATGATAACTACCATATGTATATATATATGATCCATTTTTATTACAGACGGTTGATGACCATTCAGGAATGAATATTGTACCCGGAACCCACTCTTTATTATTAATAAATCTATAAGAATAACTCATAGAAGCTCTACAAATTAGATAGATCGTATCTTTGTTAGGACCACAAATAGCTGACGCCCCATTTTTATGAGGATAAATTTGACGAGCATCGTTACTTAAATCAACTACTATTGGTAAAGTAGAATCCAAATTAAAAGGTTTTGAAACGTCTAAACAAAAAAAATCATTGGTACCATCACGATAAATTTTTGTTCTTCCGCCAAGAAAATAAATTTTATTGTCCATATAACTTGCGGTATGACCACTACGTCCAACAAGTGTATAAGGACTAGTAATAATTAATTGTAAAAAAAAAACAAAAAAGAATATAGAATATCGAGACATTTGATTAAAATGTCACAAATACTGACATTTAATATGTTTAAAATAACAAATCAAACGCATTCATTTAGTAATATGCCACAAGTCCACAACAGTGAAAAAAAATTTTTATTTATTATGAGCGACAAAGAGTATAGATTAATGACGCAAACAATACTAAAAGGTTTCGCGAAACCTTAAAATAAGTCACCGCACTACTAGATATAAAGGAAAAATCAAAATACAATATACGATATGACGAAAATAGGGAAATAGGTGAGATGTGAAATGGACAAAATGGCGAAACTGAATGTAAATAAAAACCTTATATGTTTCCTAATTAAATGGAGAATTATTTAGCCTGGTTTTGTTACACATTTAGCTTTTAAAAGATAATAAGAAGATAGCATAGTAAATATGTAGTGTATGGTTCATGGTTGGCTATGTATGTAGCATACATAGAGGTGATTATAAAACATGTAGTGTATGCTTGACGTTGTATGTATTGTATGCTTATGTATGCTTTTATTGTATCCATACATGTATGGATATTAAAAATGAACGTATGCTATGTATGGCATACTTATTTTCGCCATACATAAGATTAGGATTTGCAAAAAAAAAAAAATTTTGAAGTATTATAAATAAAATTAATATTTTTTAATGTAATTCTAGTGATAACACAAACATTTAAAAAGATATGACAATATTCACTCATAAGGAATTAAATTTATTTATATAGATTATATAGATATGATAAAAAAGCCTAGTAATATTCAATATTACATTAGTCAAGATTAAGTTCTTTGCGCAATTTAAGATTTTCCAATTCTAGTTTTTCGATCTCTGCTTGGGCTTTACGATCTGCTGTACGTCTTTCTGCCAATTTCATCTTACGTTCTTCTATTTCTAATTTTGAAATTTCTCGTTCACTATCACTTTCATTAATATCAATTCTACTTCTTTTGGCTTTTGAGGTATTTTCACTTGTGGACGCCTTTCTTTTTCCATTTTTTTCCAGCTTCTCTCTATTAGTTACATCCTGTAATGGTACTTTTTCTAATATAATTAAAAGAAATTAAATGATTAATTAATAAATAAACAAGAATATTATATTGATAAGCTTACTTTTTAATTCCTTATTAGAAGTCTCCTTTTGACTTCTTTTATTAGTATCTATTGAATTAATATTAATTTTTAGAATAAATGGTTAAATTATATTTATTATTATTATTTACCTTTTCGTGTCATAGCTTTTGCCTTCCGTTTAATCACACTTTTATCCCTTCTAGTATATGGAATCCCAAATTTGTCATTAATTTCAGCTGTCTTAAAGAATCTTTCATCAAGCCGTCTGCCTCTAAAAAGAATTTAAAAATTAAAAAAATATGCTAGTTGAAATATATAATAATAATTAACACTAACCTCATAATTGCTGTAATAAGTTTCAATTGCTTTCCCTCACGGTTGGCTTGAGCATGCGCTGCTTAAGCTACATTAGTATTATTTCCATGGTGATCCCAAATTTCATTTTCCATATTTGAGATGTGCTTATTTAAAGATGCCAAAACATAGGGTTGACGATAATATTGAGTCCAATCTATTATATGAGTATTTAATATTATTAAATTATGAAACTAAAAAAATTAAATTTTTATGAATTATATTAATATTATTTACCCATTATACGTTGATTATTATATGATTCTAATTTTTAAAAACATCCATAAACTTCTTCAGCACTAGATTTAGTTGAAATGGATTTTGCTAATAGATATACTTCATTATCAAATTTTTTAGCTATCAAATTACTAAAAATAAAATGTATTAATATGTTAAATTTTTATATATCAAAGTTTATAATTTAAAAATTTTTTACCGATTAAAATGGACCAAGCATGATTTAAAAATGTATGTTAGATGTTCTTCCCAGTTTTTGCTAGGATCTCTTTTTGCTAAAGCCAATCCTAATCCTTTTGCTTGACCTGCGTCAAGGTCTCTAAGAATGCATTCCCAACCTGTACCATCAATGTGATAAAATTTTACTGGTATTTCACTTAAATTTTCAACCACCTCAAAAAGTTGAGTGAATAGGCGTTGGTATGCATCAGCTGTAAATATATTGGTATAAATACGACAATAGGATAAAACTAAAAAAGTATAAAGTTAATTTTTTGTAATAGAAAGATAAGTAACGAATTTATAATTAAAATATTTACTTAATTTATGAGTTTCATCATATGAATTGATTTCAAATTCGTTAATATCCCCATGCACTCTCTTGAATGTTAAATCAATTTGAAAACACTTTAAATTTTGCAATGCTTTTGCTTGGAAATCAAGCATGCATAAAATTAAAGTTTGGCCATCTTCAAATTGCTCTATAAAAAATAATTAATAATAAATTATAATTATACAGTATGTAAAAAATTCCAGTAAAGTACAACATATACTAATACTTACCTATACGACGCACATAGTTATGCATATCAAATTTTTTACACTGAACACTATACATAACTCCTAAGTTTCCCTGCCCATAGGGATGCATATTTTTATAGCATTTAGCAACAAGAGATCTAAGTTTATCCACATTGTTTAGTGATGCATGTACAGTACTTCTGATAAAGTATCTTTATCAAAAGTTGCTTTAATGCTACTATTTCCTATTTAAAATGAAATGAAATATATGTTATAAATTATTATTAATATAAATAAAAAATATTAAAGAAAATCACCTGCTATTATTGAGCGTGAAGTTACACTATCATCCGAAGCAATAATGTTTTGGATCATTGCTTGCAGCTCATCCTTAATACCCACTGGTGTGCGTTCTGGTGGTGGTGGTGGATGATTGTGCGTACCTATACATACTAATGCAATATAGGGACATGCAGCCAAATCATATGGAATAAATTTAATGAACTGCACATTGCATTTTCGCTCAATTATAGTTCCTCGCATAACTTGACCATCTTGAATATGTGGAAATTCTTGATAAAATAAATTAGTTAAATTCATTATATAATTATATATATTTTTTTATATATTAATTAATTAAAATTAATTTTACCACATAAACTTATACTTGAAGCACGTGAAACTATGGTGCAGCATTGATTTTCATTATTATTCTCGTCAATCTAAATTAATTATTACAATTAATAGTATCACATAAATTAATAATAAAACATATAAAATACTTACAACTCGTCCTTGAAAAATATCTCATAATAATTCCAAGTCAATCTCCCCTGGAACTTTAATATAGCGATGCCATTTTTCCCCTCTAACCCATTTGTCACATCCAATAATATACTCTTCAACTCCATTTTTAATAATTCTTCTTAATTTTGCTTGGCCATCGCAAAGTTGATTGTTAGATTTATATTTACAAGCTGTTGATTTTGCAGCAAGAAAAAATCTAATAATATGCAATAAAAATGTTAAATTTTTTTTTAAAAAACAAATAATTATATAAACTTACGTGTAGGTTTTAGTCTTTTTATTGTGCTGATGTTGGTTTAATTTGATAAACATTTCTGATTCCATATCAACTTCGTTATGCTGCTCATTAATAAAATCTGGATCTGCAAAGGAACAATGTTTGATACCTTGACATTTTCGCACATCTTTCTTTACTGGTACTCCAAAATAAGGACAATTTTGGATTGAAATTGATCCTCCCGCTCCATTATTAGAATATTGGATCTAATAAATAACAAAAATACAAGCAGCAAAGTTATTAATTAATGGCGAAAATTTTTAATAGTGAAAAATACTTACATCATTGAAACAAGCCATTGGGTTTGCCCAGCCAGTAACATTAAATACTGTGGCTATTCCTTGTGGTGAAGTTTTAGGATATTCAATAGGAAAGGCTGAATGTATAACCTCTGAAACTGAAAGGTATTTTGTGAAGAATGCTATCTGTTCTGCATCTTCATTAGCATCCTAAACAGATATTAAAATTTCAGAAACCAGAAATCATATTCAAATAGTCATACTAAACTTGACTTTATTTAATATAAAATAAAAACATAATAAAAGAGCAAACCTGTTCATCCATTAATTCAGAATATTCATTTTCAGATATAGTTTCGTCATCAGATATAGTCTCAATATCTGAAAGAATAACAGGATTTACTTTAGACATAGTTATAAATGTAATAGAAATATTTTTAAATGAAAGTAAAGGTAATAAAAACGCGATAGCAATATTTATTTTTAAATGAAAAAGTAGTAATAGACGTAAAAATATTTATTTTTTAATAAAAAGAAAAGAAAGATTATAGTAATACGCGTTGAATTGTATTAGCCAGTACACAATCATTATGAAAAATGTGTAAATAGTTAAATTTGGAAATAAAATGTGTGGCATTAAATCAAAATTACCATATTTATCATACAATACATACATAATTAGAAAAAACCATACATTACATACATTAAAAAGTTTTAATAATACAATACATACAAAGCTAACCATACAATACATGTTTGCTATATACCCCATACATAGGTATCCATGTTATCGTAACACCCTACAATTTATAATATATAAAAAAAAAATACATAGTATTACTAACTCCATATCAATTATGGATGTATTAATAAAATTAATACTAAATAAAACTATACTATCTATAAACTATATACTATGTAAATTAATTATAAACTATATAAATCTGGTCTATGTGTAAAACCCCATATACTTTGATAAGGGCGATTAACTAATAAACTATTACTAACTATATTATCCGTTTTAATTTCTTTTTTTTATTCTTTTTGTACTGTTTTTATATTTTTTTTTTAATTTTTCTTCATTGTTTTCAGCTACCTCCGCTTCTAAATCAGTTGTATTAATTGTACGTTTACGTTTTTTATCAGCCTTTGTTACCTGATCTTTTCTCTAATTCATTAATTTTACTGCATCGTTCTAACCAAATCCCCGTCCTCATATTTAAATAACACTGTTCCCAAATTTTTTCTAATATTTGACGTTCTACTTTGGACATACAGTACATATTTTATAAAGCTCATTATTAAATAAACCTCTAGTTACTTCACGTAATCGTAACCGATGGGAAATTTTCATTATTTTCATTGGTTTCATCGGTATCTATATATATTTCTGATTATGTTAATATAACATACTCAATTTTTTTAGGGCTTACCACAAATTTTTGTAGTGTCACGGTCGTTTTAATTGACGTATATTTAATAAAATTTTTTGCTAAACAGTTATTTTTATTATTGTATGAAAATAAAAATTTTTTGTACTAAATACTGAAAATTTCAGTCCAAAACTAATAAACAAATATAGAAAATATTGTCTTCAGGCTAAGAACAAATTTTAGATCTTGTCATGATCTTCGTGTAGTAAGTAAAAGTGATATCGCGTATTTTTTTTTTGATTATAGGATATAACTGACATCCCTTTCTCGCTTTCTCTCTAACGACAGCTTCTTCCGGATTTTTGGGTTCCTGAAGTGATAAGTAAAAAGAGGGTGTTATGTGTTTATCAGTTTTAGGAACGAAACTAACATGTTTTCTTTAAATTTGTAATATAACTAATGTTCCTTTTTCTTTTTTTCAGATATAATTAGATGAATGAAAGTACCAGTTTTAAATTTCATAATTTAAGAACCCACAAAAATAAAGAAAACTAAGGTTAACATGGTATTGTAAAATGAAAGAGGAAAGGTGAATGTAAAATTTGTTTAATAGAAGTCTTAAAGACATTAATAAAGGCAAAATATATTTAAGAAATTATATCGGAAAGTAGCGTAAACTTTTAGCAATTTCAAAGTTCTTACTTGTCAAATAGACTTGGCCAAAGGTTAGAACGATTGGTTAGGTGCTGGAACGATTGGTTTGACGTTGAAACGATTGTTGAGGCGTTAGAACTATTGATAAAAAAACTACTTTTTTTTTCTTCGCGTGTATTAAGACTATATTAAGTTTGTTGGCCTTGCATCAGCTGATAGGTTGATAGCAAATCACAGTTGCAGAAATTAACAATTAATGACCATAAAAAAGGCCCAAAATAAATATCCGCGCATATGTATTGTTGTTATTTGTATTCAAATTTTAGTTTAAGGCTAAGTTCTTTTATCATGGTTTAAATCATAATGATATGGAGGTAATCCAGTTATTACTTTACTTATACAGTAATTATACCAAAACTATAATTTTAGTATAATTTTGCTCTTTTAAAATTTTGGTAGAAATATAAGGTAAAACATCTAATACAAAAGCGAAACTTTCCACTTCTTTATCTTCCCTATAGGGATGGAAATGACTCTGTTGTTCCTGTTTTAGTTCTGCGATGCAAACCAAGTCTAAGTGAGCCTAACCGATAGGACCGGTTCCAAACTCCAATTTGAAGCAGACATTCAAGCGACATTTGAGAGGGTTCGTTAATTCTGTTATGTCACATGAAGTTACACAAATTTTCAAAAAGTAAATTGAATTGACGATCACTAAATCTCGATGAGCTAACTGTTGCCTACTTCCCTATCCTTAATTGTTATTATATTCCAGTATTTAACATATTTTAACCTTTACCTCACATATTTTTAGAGGCCAAAAGTGAAGAATGAATAAGTCTTTAATTAGTAATATTTGGATGTATAGATTTTTAGTTATAATAGTGTAATCATGTATAATTATAGCCTAAGAAAATTTGTCATGCACCACGAATTACTATACATAAACTTGATTCTTTGATTATACTAACTATTTATAAACTTTTATTTAATGATCAAACAAATTTTAGGATTGGCTTTTCACATAAAATGATTCACTATTATAGATTAAGTATTTAATCTTTATTAGGTACAGTATATAAATATAAAAATCAAATATATTACCAATGGCCGTCTGAAGTCTCTCAATCTAAATGATTTAAAAGCCTTCTCAATAAACTGATCTACATTATTCCTCCAAGCATTATTAACTATTTTATCATTTTTATTAATATTGCCCATGCGATTATAGATACAAAATAAAAAATTAAGATAAAAAATATATGAAAATTTAATTAGATAAATTGAATGTTAACAATGTTAACAAATTAAAATTTACAATAAAAACTTTCTTTTTTCATTTAAAAATCGTCATATTATTGCAGAACCCCGAAAAATGGTCATAAATGATCGGCAAGATTTTGGCCTAAAATAAGCAACTTTTCAGGGCCGGAATTATGATAATGCTGGCCAGTATCAAAACGGACAATAAAATTTAGGCCGGCACTATCTAAAAAAGGCAAGATTTTCATGAAAATTTTGGTTCTTTTTAAGCAAACTCAAATGTGACCTTTTTATGTATTTTTCGGAGTCCTATTATTGCCTCTACGTAGCTGAAATAAAGTAAAAAGATATAATTTATAATTTTTTTTTTTTTCGAAAAAATACTTATTTTAAAATATTGAATTAAGATTTCATATTTCCTCCATTTATTTATTTATTTTATGTGAAGTTGGCAAGGTAAACAAAAAGACATGAACAATCAAAGAAAGTTACTAATCTACATAGAACCTGTCATCCGTCAAGGTTACCACCAGGACGAACCTTTACTTCTAAAGAGATTTAGGGTGACCCAACTAGGGCCACCCTAAACCCACCCCGGACCACCTACATCGGTAGGTATTTTTTGGTATTTGGGGCCAACTGCAGCGTATCAGGGGGAGGCGAACACAACCAAACACACTCCCCATTGACCACCTTAGCAACACCTCAGCACTATGCCCACCCCTACCTGTGTAAGGATTAAATTGGTTGACCACGCGCCATACGTCATATTTCCTCCATAGTCCATATAGCCAATATAAAGTAGCAATATAAACTATCATATAGTCATGTGATAGCCACATGGTAGTGTCGTTAAGGTGGCTAATTCAGAGGCTTCAGCAAAGAATATATATGCAGAAAAAAAAATGAAACAGTTAACGAGCTTCTTTTGTTAAAAATATAAAATTCTAATAATTTTAAAATTTTGATAAAAATATGCCTTGTGGAAATAATTTACTTTCTTAAAATGTATAGCTGTGTATAATAATCTCACATCTATTATACAAAATATTAATTAATTGGTAATACTCTTATTCTCCTACAATCTCTGCGTACATTCGATCTTTTTATATATCGGTAAAACCGTAAACAAATGACATACTATATTAGGAGAATACAAATTATGATAATGTATGGAATATACAGTATATGTACAAATTATGTTATTTATAATTTCAGAACGTTTAGATTGTCTTTTTAAAAATATTTGTTAATATTTTTATTATAGAAATGGATTTGTTAATACAAGAGCCATTTACTAATTGAATATAATTTTTACACTTTATTCGTTCTTAATTTTTTATGCCTCATCAAAGATTAGTAAGATTAATACTATTTTTATTTTTTGAAAATACAGAAAAAAGATGTACATTACTAAAAAAAAATTAAGTTCAGATAAAAAATAATTTTAATTCGCATACTATTAAGTATTTACAAAATGTAGATCCCTTATGTATGTACCTTATGTAACCATCATTTCCAGATTAGTTCTCTTTCTTTTTATGATGATCAGCAGCTGCTTACGAATTTTCTCTGTCACAAAAATAGTAAATTTTTGTATACAATAGTAGTACAAACAGTAATACAAATAAGTAAACGCAATTTATTGAACTTCGTTCAATTAATAATTTTTTTGCTTATAATAATTCTGGAATTTATTTTGAGTAACGTAGTTATTTGTTTATATAACTAAAATTATAATCCACAACTCAAATTAATTAATATGGATGAAAAGCCAAAAAATTTATGGGAGAATACTGATTATAATAAATATAAGGTAATAGCAATTTAATATTTTTGATAATTATAATTATTTTATTGAATTTTTGTAATTAAAAATATTAATAATTTTTTGTCTATTAAAAGAGACATGTTACAATTTCTTCAACTATTAAATCAGAAAATGTAGATGAAAGAGTAGTTTATATAGAAGATTTAGAAAAAAGAAAACAAGCATATGGAATATGTGGAGAATGTAAAGAACCTGGTACAGGATCTAGATGGTGTCAACCTTGTAATGCTAAAAGATTTAAGGATAACTTTAAAAGTTGGACTAGTGGAAATAAAAATATTGATGAATTTATACAACAATCACATCTTAATGCTGTACATAATCATAGATATCTTGAATGGATACCTTTTGAAAAATTTCAAAATATCACTTATATTGCAGAAGGTGGTTTTGGTAAGATTCATTCAGCAGAATGGCCTGAAGGATTTATTGTATATTGGGATATTGAAAATCAAAAATGGTTTAGATACAATAAAAAAGATATTAAATATGCATTAAAAAGTTTGAATAATTCTTCTGATATATGTTCAGATTTTTTAAAAGAGGTAATTTAAACTCTTATATATAAGTTATTTACATTTATTTATTAATAAAATTTTTCTTTTTTGATGATAATTAGGTTAAATCTCATCTTCAGATTTTTAATAGAGATATTGTTCGATGTTTTGGAATTACTCAAGATCCAAATAATAAAGAGTATATGATGGTTTTATTATATTGTGAAAATGGAAATTTGAGAAATTATTTAAATAAATCAAATAATTATATTAATTATAAATCAAAAATTGATCAATTACAACAAATTGCAAGAGGACTTTTAAATATTCATAATGCTGAAAAAGTTCACAAAGATTTTCATTCAGGTAATATATTGCATGGGTTAGATTCTCTTACATATATAAGTGATTTAGGAATGTGTCAACCAGCAAGTAAGCAAAAAGTTAAAGAAGAAGGAATTTATGGAGTATTACCATATATAGCACCAGAAGTTTTACGTGGATACCAATATACAAAAGCAGCAGATATTTACTCATTTGGAATAATAATGAACGAATTTCTTTCTGAAAAAATTCCTTTTAATGATATTCCTCATGAGGATTTTTTAGCTTTTAAAATTTGTAAAGGACTTAGACCAACAATTTCTAAAGATATACCAAAATTACTTGCAGATTTGATAATAAAATGTTGGGATGCTGAAATAAAAAATAGACCAACCACTAAAGAATTGCATCAACTATTGAAGAAATGGTATGATGAGATTGAATATAGTAAAGATAATGAAGATGGTGAAGATGGTGAAGATGGTGAAGATGGTAAAGATGTTAAAGATGGTAAAGATGTTAAAGATAGTGAAAATGTTAAAGATAGTGAAAATGTTGACAATAGTCAAAATAGTGAAATATATTTTCAAATAAAAGAATGTGATAAAATTAGTAAAGAAAAATTCAAAAAGAGATCAAATGATGATAAATCCAAAAACTTCAAAACACATCCACAAGCAATTTATACTAGTAGACTTTTAAATTTCAAAAATCTTCCAAAACCAGTAAATTCTTCAGATTTATCATCTTTTCAATTCAGTTCAGGTAATTAAATTTAATTTTGCTTTATCATATAGTCTATTTTACATTATTAATGTTATTTTATTCTTTTAATAGATACTAATTATACTGCTCAATCAACGTCAACAAATCCAAGTAAGTATTCTCTTTATTATTATTATTATATAATTTTTTTATTTTTACATTTGTTAACATTTGAATACTTTGAATACATAATATACAGTTTCAGAATGCTTAGATTGTTCAATTTAGTGAATTGGGTAAGTTATTATTTATTTGTAATTTTACTAATATTTCCTTTCTAATTTATATAATCTATTTTTTTTTTTATAGAACTAAATGAAATTTGTCAAGATAGTGAACATAATATTGAATGAAGTTTTCTTTTATGTGAAAATTAGAGTCAAATAGTTTAAATTACTAGTTTGAGTGTTAAAGTTTAGTTCCACTTCTATTTTTCTTTCATTTATACTTTATAAATTTTTTATCTTAGTTTTTTATTTACATAGTATATTATATAATACATATAAATTTATTGGATTTTATATTTATGAATATTCTATATAAATAAAGAATTTAAATTTTTTATTATACTTATTTGATGATTATTATCTTTATCATTTGAATGTAAAACTGTGATATATTTGCAACTGCCAATATTCCGCTTGATGCATTTATAAAATCATATTAAATTATTATGCGCAATAAATGTTTGGTTGATTTGTCCTAAAGTATTTAAATAATCAATGAATTTATTTTAATACCTTTTTATTTATTATTTATATTTAAAATTTTTAATATCACTTGTTGGTTAATTTAAACAGTGAGTTTAACTCTAATAGTTAAATTTAAAGGAAGAAAAGGCCATTTATATTAAATTTGATTGTTAATATAACCAATAGCCCTTCTGAAGTGAAATTAATAAATAATAAGACGAGGAGACTTTGATGCAATATTGCATATATTATAGTTTGGAATGTTATAATGGATTCAAATTCAATAATTTCATAGTTAATTATTAGCCATACAATTATTAAGTCTTCATTTTAATATTGAACATACAATGTGTACTTGGACAAAGCTATAATCTAAAAACAGTGCTAATTGTAACAGATTGTAAAAATAATAATGAGAAACTATTTATAACACAACCTATTAATGAGGAATTTAAGGTAGTTAGATCAAGTTAACTAAATTCATTTTTTTTTTGAGATGAAAAGGACTGTAATTAATCACATGATGCTCCATTAAATTATATAAGCAATAATATCATGTTATTTTTTCTTCACTTTATTTTACGCAATTAGCCTAATTGATTTTTATCTCGTAATATATATAAATCTTAATCTTCATGATAGTTTAATGAATTTACGGTTAATTCACCTTATTCTATCTGCCTCCATTCAAATCATTCCATCACGTTAAACATAATAAAGGTACTGTAGATATCCAACTTTATTTTATTCATTATCCTAAAAAGAATTTTTTTTGAATAGAGATAGGCATTTAGAAAACGGATATTCTTTAATCTGTAATTACAGCAATATTACTATTTATACTTTTATACATTAATACAATAATCATCATCATTTATAATAAATAATTCTTTATCAGAGGAAAAGTGTGATATATATATATATGTATAACAAGATCATAGGGTTTACTAAATTCAGTTGATGTGAAAATTAAGAACATTACATTGGATACAAGTATCATAGTATATATTATGTATTAGTCACCGTACATGATATATTTTAACAATATATTTCAATGAAATTATTTGAGTAGACAATTTGAATGATGAATCTCTAAATTATAGTAGGTTTTTTTGGTAATATCCAGAATGTTATTAATAAATTTAAAGTTAGCGCTTTAAAAATTTTTATTAACTTAGTTTATTTTTTATTTACTTTATATTATATCTTAGTGGAAATTATTATGGTTGGTCAAATATGCAAAAATATATTAAAAATACATTATTTATTGAGAGGGTTTTGTGTTAAAAAGAGGCGTTTAACTTTGATTATAAAACGTTAGAAAGCAAAATACTTAACAAATCTATTAAGCATTTCAAACAAGCAAATAATTTTTAAATCGGTTATTATTAAAAGCGATTTTATTACTGTATTACATTTATTCTTAGCTTTTTTTTTTTATCTTGAATAAATTTAAAATAATTTTTTTTCTTTTAAGAAGTTACCTAAGAATTTAATTGGCCCGTCCTAATTATTTCAGAGGTGAGGTAAAAAAAAAATCGAGTTATTTCTTTCGTGGAGCAGCAACTGCAATTGTTTCTGTAGTAGTACTCACCCAGAAATTATTGGCTCATTTATCATATAATTTTTTTTTGTTTCATTCTAATACAATAAGTTTAATAAAATATATATTCACAATCTTAAAGGACTAAAATAACAAATTAACCGAAATTCAGTTTCAAATTCTCTGGCGCCAAACTTAATTGATTATTAATTAACCAGTTTACTGACGGAAGTAAAGTAATTACGTTATTCACGAAATACCAGACTAAAACTAACTACAAACAGGATAAGAATGTTTGTTGATTGTTAATTTAATACAAACTGAACGTTACTATTTAATTTTATAAAAAAAAAAAAAAATTATTTTCAATCGATTGAAATGGAAAAAAAAGCTGTTTATTATAGACACATAATGAACACAAAATAAAAAATATTTTTAAATATAAATTCAATATTACAACTTGAAATAAAGTGTAATACAGTATTTAAAAAATTCTTTACAGAAACTTCAAGATCGTAGCGATGGCTTAATGCGCAGTAACTGCGTTATTTATGTAATCGTAAAGAAATTACATACATGCAGTTACTGCGCATTAAGCCATCGCTACGATCTTGAAGTTTCTGTAAAGTTGTTGTATAATAATTAGAAATATTTTAATAACAATTTAATCATTTTATATGATGTCAAGGTTCGTTACTATTGCATTTGTCGAAATCAATATACGGAAACATGGTAAATTATTTCATGATATTATAATTTTAAAATGGGTTTTAATATCGCATTTTTATTATTAAAAGAAATGAATCTATTATACCAACCCTATAAAAAAAATTGGATACGTTTTTTATAAAGTTTTTATACGATTTTTTTCCTTAGAAATAACATATCATAATAGTCCGTTGAAAGGATACGGAAAATGCACAATTCCGTATCACTAAAAATATGATTTGGATATGGAATTTGCATCTAACATTCTATAAAACTTAACAGTTAATTGCATGTTTAGCTTGGGAAGTATATATAACAGTTTCTTTCTACGATACAATAAGTAACTAAAAGATATAATAATTATTATAGTTGCAATACCACCAGTTGTTCCACCTATTATTACTAGTGGTGCTCCTAAAAATTTTACTTACAAGTTAACCCACTTTGGCGTAAAAGTGGTATTTAATACAAGAAAACACACTGTGGAGTTAATAGATGAGTAGAAAATTTTATGAAAGATATTGGAAAATCAGTAAAAGTAGATCTTCTGCCTGGCATTCTAACGAATCACTCTGGTCGCAAAACTGTTGCACAGATTCTTCAGGATGCTGATGTGCTGGAAGATGCTATAATGGGAGTAACATGTCACGAAAGTGTTCAAGACTTCAAGGTATTCATGCAGAAGTAAATGTAATTTACGCTATAGAACCATCAAGATCTTCAATTCTTGGTGATTCAACAAATACTACTAATACACCTGTTGAATTTTCCTTTGATGATGATAAAAAATTTCTTATTTTTAATAATTGTCATTTTAATAATGTAACTTTTAAACTTTAAAATAAAATACAAAATCATCCTTTTTATTTGTAACATAAACAAATGATTAATTCTGCGGTAATAATAAAATATTAAAATGAGCTGCGTTTAATGTTAATATTTTCATTATAAAAATATCACTATGAAAAATCATGGGCGACCATTAGTAAATATGGGATAAAATCTGTTACATTCTATTTTTTCTGTGCAATAAAACCTATGTACTGTCTATATCAAGTAATTTTTCTATCACCTCGTTGACCGAAATTTCCTATATCACAAAATTTTTATGTTAGTCTAAATTAGACCAAATGCTTTTTGGAATTTTTTTGTATTTGATCTATTTGTGCTCCAATATCACCATGGAACGATTTTTTTTCTTATTGTTGAAGTTCCAGACAAGAAAATACACAATTCAGTATAAAATATATATTTTTTGAAATATTTGCAAGAAAATGACTTCAAGGCTTACAAACTAATGACCTATTGTAGTTCAAATAAATTATTATTGAACGTAATAATTATTATATATATTATGTAATATAATTTGTATTATTTATAAAACTCTTGAACTTTACTAAAAAAATCACAGAATGTTTAAAGTCTCTAAAGTTAAAAAATGATAATTTTTATTATAAAAATCAACTCATATTAATCAAACATCTGTTAATATTATATGTGAATTTAATATTGGTATTATTAGCTCTTGAAATGAATATATGATTTACTTAATTTTACACAATTAAATAATTTTATATGACTTATATTATATTTAATAACTGGAAAAGGTATAAAAAAAAAAGATTTATTTAAATTACAAACTAAGAAATTTGTAAAATATTTACTACTCTAGTCCTAGTGTTTAAATAATTCTAAAAAGAGAATACATATATTTAATATTTAAATAAAATATAAAAAAAAAATAAAGTGAATTATTCAAATTACAAACTAAGAATCCTTGTAAAATATTTTACTACTCTAACTTTAGTGTTTAAATAAACCTAAAAAGAATAAAAATAAAAAACAATTTCTGTTTCTTGTTGAATGCATAGTATTCAAATATCATTTGAAAGAAAACTATAAATCTTTTTTAATTTTCATCTGTTTTAATATTTAAAATTGATTAAATAAATAAAATAAATTTCACATAAACAATTTGCAAGATTAATTTTTTTATATCCTATATTACATACCTAATGACTTCTAATCTTCAAATTATACAATCATCCAAATCTTCAGTCACACTAGCAGCAGGATAATTTGAATGATAAGCTTGTAAATCATTACTTTCAAGAATTTCATTCAATTTTTTACTATTAAAATCAAGTAATCGACTTGTACAACGTGCTTGTGGGTGAGATTCAATAGTAAGATTGTTACGCCCAATTGGTGCATTTATAAATTCCATAATATTGCATTTTAATTCTTCATTAATATCATCTTCAAAATTCTTAACAGATTCATTATCATTAGGAATAAAAATCCATTCTCCAATAATATTTAACACTTCTTTAGAAGATGGTCTTTTCAATGGATCTCCATCCCAGCATTTTTTCATCAATTCTACATAACATTGTGGAGTATTTTCAATAATTTCTGGACGTTCACCTTCACAAATACTTAAACTAAGTTGAAGATCATGTGCTCTGTCATTAAATGGTGGTACTCCAGATGTAAATTCCCACATAATCATAGAAAAACTGTATACATCACTAGCTGGAGTATAAGATTTGCCTCTAAAAACTTCAGGTGGCATAAATGATATAACTCCAAAAATATCATCCTTTTTCAAAAATGATTTTACAGGTCGACACAATCCTAAATCACAAACATAAAGTTTGTCCTCACTTTTATCTTCATGATTTAAAATATTTCCATCATGAAAATCACAATGAATAAGATTTTGTTCATGTATATCCTTAAGTCCAGTAATAATTTCATACAACATATATAATTTTTGTTTCCAAGTAAATTTGATTATTCTTGCTAAATTTTCTCTTAAATTACCTTTGTTTGCAAAATCCATTACTACCATATATTTTGAAGTAGCTGGATCTTTTGTAAATCCATAAAAATTAATAATATCATATGAGTTTAAAAAACTTACATGATACTTCCACTATAAATAATAATATATTAATATATTAGTATAGATAAAATTATAATTTAAATTGAAAAAATAAATAATAACTATCTACCTCATTTAAAAATTCATCTAAATTTTCATTTAAATCACTGTGACATTTAAGTATTACTTCTTTATTTCCACTATCATTTAACCAAATAGATTTATATATAATACCAAATCCTCCTTCATTAAAATATTTAACATTTTTAAATTTATTATAAGGAATCCATCTTAAATTTTTTTCATAAATAAATTCATCTATAACTGTATTTCCACTTTTTCCAAATCTATAAATTTAAAAAATTAAAATTATATTTAAAAGTTATGTATTAAAATTTACACTAAAATTTAAAATTAAAATTAAAATCACTTACTCTAAAATTTAAATAGAAATTCAATATAAGCCTTAGTTTTTGTATAAATGTACAAATGTATATAAAAAAAACCTATAATTCACAACTTACCAACTAAAGTAACAGATATTTTTTTTAAATGAAAGAATTTGGTTAACAAATAAATATTATAAATAATATAATAATCATAATAATAGAAACAATAAAACTTACAATCTATATAATAAATAATTTTTTAAATAAAGAATTTAGTTAGATTAAATTATATGCAAATATTATATAAATATGTAATAATAGAATTAAGTAAATAACTTACTATCTATATTATTAAATAATTTTAAATAAAGAATTTAGTTAGTTTAAATTATATGCAAATATTATATAAATATGTAAGTAATAGAATTAATAAATAATAACTTACTCTCTATATTATTAAATAAGTTTTAAATAAAGAATTTAGTTAGTTTAAATTATATGTAATTATTATGTAAATAAGTAAATAATGGAATTAAATAAATAACTTACTCTCTATATTATTAAATAATTTTTTAAATAAAGAAATTAGTTAGTTTAAATTATATAAAATATAATAGAATTAAATAAATAACTTATAGCTTACGCCCTAAAAAAATTACAAAATAATTTTTTAAAAAAGTATTTAGTTAATTAAATTATATGCAAATATTATATAAATATGTAATAATAGAATTAATTAAATAACTTACACTCTATATTATTAAGAAATAATTTTTAAATAAATAATTAGTTAGTTTAAATTATATGTAAATAATAATAGAATTAAATAAATAACTTACGAACTATATTATTTAGAAAATAAAGAATTTAGTTAGTTAAATTATATGTAAATACTAATAGAATTAAAATAAATAACTTACACTCTATATTATTAAATAATTTTTGAATATAAAGAATTCAATTAGTCTAAGTTATATGTAAGCAATAATAAGACTAAATAAATAACTTACGAACTATATTTATATTAAATAATTTTTTAAATAAAGAAATTTAGTTAATTTAAATCATTTATAAATGTTATACAAATATTTAATAATAGAATTAAATAAATAACTTACGAGCTATATTATTAATTAATTAAAGAATTTAGTTAGTTTAAATTATATGCAAATAATTTATAAATATGATATGTAATAGAAGTGAATAACTTATAACTTACCAGCTGCAAAATAATTTTTTAAATAAATAAAATTAGTTAGTTTAAATTATAATATAAAGAAAATAACTACGTTTAACCGGGGAAATATCCCCTAATATTTATTAGAGTTAGGGTTTAGGATTAAGGTTAGGTTAGTGTTAGGTTAGGTTTAATTATCACAACGTATCACGCCCCACGGGTTTTCATTTTATTTAATTAATTTGGGGATGAAATATTTTGTTATTAAAATTCCTATTTGACACACTTATTCGTCACGGGAGGAATTTCCCCTCCGGTTAAAATTAGAAATTTTCTTATATAAATATGTGATAGAATTAATTAAATAACTTACTCTCTATATTATTTAAACAAAGAATTTTGTTAGTATAATTATATGTAAATATTATATAAATATATAATAATAGAATTGAATTAATAACTTACTTTCTATATTATTAAACAATTTTTTTAAATAAAGAAATTAGTTAGTATAAATTAATTGTAAAAACATTAAATAAATATGTTATATTTATAATAGAATTATATAGCTTACTCCCTATATATTATTGAATAATGTTTAATAAAGGTTAGTTTAAATTATAAGTAAATATTAAATAAATAAGCAATAATAGAATTAAATAAATAATTTACAAGCTATTATTATTAAAAAATAAAAAATTTAGTTAGTTTAAATTATGTATAAATATTAGTATATAAACATATAATAATAGAATTAAATGAATAACTTACTATCTATATTAATAAATAGTTTTAGAATAAAAAATTAGTTAGTTTAAATATTATATAAATATGTAATAATAAATTAAATAAATAACTTACGAACTATATTATTAAATAATTTTTTAAATAAAGAATTAAATTAGTTTAATTATAAATATTATATAAATAAGTAATAATAGAATTAAATAACTTACGCCCTATATTATCAAATAATTTTTAAATGAAGAATTTAGTTAAGTAAAGGATTATAAAAAATAATGATGCAGTTAGCCGAAAAATAATTAGCCGCAACGTGATCCAGACCCGGCTCAGGTGTAGATCGTCGTGGATTTTCTGCGATTAAAACCGGGTTCGGATGATCGGCAATCAGGAATTCGGCTAACAACACCATTATAAGTAAAATTTAATAGAATTAAATAAATAACTTACGATCTATATTATTAAATAATTTTTTAAATACAGAATTTAGTTAGTTTAAATTATATGTAAATAATATAATAATAAGGAATAATAGAATTAAATAAATAACTTACAAACTAAAAGAAATCACAAAATAATTTTTTAAATAAAGAATTTAGTTAGTTTAAATTATAAGTAAATATTATAAATATTATAGCAATAAGTAATAATAGAATTAAATAAATAACTTACCATCTAAAAGAAATTACAAAATAATTTTTTAAATAAAGAAATTATGTTAGTTTAAATTTTTGTAAATATTATAACAATGAGTAATTGTCCGGAGCAAAGCGAAGGACTATATACGTCTACGCATTATGAAAAATAATCAATCACGTGGTCACGTGAATTTTCACGTGACGTCATCCGAGGTTTATCTTTTTTTCGCTCCAGTTTCCGTTTACTAGTAATAGAGTAACTTACACTCTATATTATTAAATAATATTAAATAAAGAATTAGTTAGTTTTAAATTATATGTAAATAATATCAGAATTAATGAATAACTTACGAACTATATTAATGAACAATTTTTTGAATAAAGAATTTAGTTAGTTTATATTATATGTAAATATTATATAAATACATAATAATAGAATTAAATAAAAAACTTACACTCTATATTATTAAAATAAAGAATTTAGTTAGTTTAAATTATAAGTAAATGTTAAACAGATATGTAATAGAATCAAATAAAAACCTACTCTCTATATTATTAAATAATTTTTTAAGAGAATTTAGTTAGCTTAATTATATGTAAATATAATACAGATATGTAATAATAGAATCAAATAAATAATTACTCTCTATATCATTATTAAATAAAGAATTTAGTTAGTTTAAAATTATAAGTAAATATTATATAAATGTGAATCGAATAAATAACTCATAACTTGCCAGCTAAAAGAAATCATATAATAATTTTTAAATAAAGAATTTAGTTAGTTTAAAATAAACGTAAATACTATATAAATATGTATATAGAAATAGATAAATAACTTACTCCCTATATTATAAATTAGTAATTTAGTTAGTTTAAATTATATGTAAATATTATTTAAATATTTAATAATGTTAGAATTAAATAAATTAACTTACGCTCTATATTATTAAATAATTTTTAAACATAGAATTTAGTTAGTTTAAATTACGTGTAAATATTATATAAATATGTAATAGAAGAATCAATATAACTTACTAACTAAAAAGAGATTACCAAATAATTTTGTAATAGAGTTTAGTTACTTAAATTATATAAATAATAGAAATAGAAATATCACGTATACAACTTACACCCTGTATTAATTATTAATTAGTTGATATAAATATAATACAAAAGTATTTGCTGTAAATTAAATAAAACACTTACAATCTAATTATTTAAATTAAGAATATAATTAGCTGAGTTATATAAAATATTAAACAAATAAACATAAGTTTTAAATATTGAAACTTACTGTCTATAATATAATCAATTATTAAATAGTCATTTAAACAAAGAATTTAGTTATTTTAATATTAAGTAAAATAATTAAGTAAAAGAACTAAAGATTTAACTTACAAACTATAATATTATTAATGAATTATTTAGTTATATGGATATAACAAAAATAAGTAACTCCATTATTATTCAATTATATATAAGATAACCTATTAACTTACGAGCTATATAATTTTTATATAATATAGTTAGTTTAAATCGTACATGTATATTACATAAGATATAATAATAGATAGTATTTAAATTATTTGCAAATAATTTTTATTTCATAATTAAAGACGTCTCAGCTCGTTTAATATATTATATATATTATATTTACCTTCAGATTCCTTAGTGCCACTTGAAACTTATCGTAAGTTGTTTAAAAATTTTAGATTTTTAGTTATATTAAATGTTCATGCTGTATATGATTTTTATGATTTTTACCTTTATCAGCCATTATTATACAATTATATCAAAATTCTCTCTAACTGGAAAGACAATATAAATATCTTTTTTTTTTCTTTTTTTTCATTAATGGATATATATGGCGTGTAATTTTTCTGTGCAACAATGAGACTTGATGATCGACATATATTACGATATGCCATATTTGCTTGTCATAATGAATTATGTGCAGATCGGCGGCTATACTAACTTTCGCCCCAGCCCCCAGGTTCCCATTGGATCCAT